CATTTTCTGTCTTGCAATTTATATATGATAGTGACAAAAGAACTGGCATTGGTGGTCTCCAGTATATTGGTTTAGCTTTATGACCAGCTGATGACCATTACCAAACTACATGTATTGTTAAGCGTATGTTTATTGTTACTCATAATTTATGCTGCCAACATTAGAGGCAAGTCAGATGTGCTGCTGTGATCCAACCACCATCAGGTCAAACAAAATGCAAAAAGAGGGAAGCAATTTGGAGCTTCCCATTGTCTGCTGAGCATCAGGCCTCTAGCCAGTACAGAGGCTACCCACAAGCATGAGCCTCACTGGCCCAAAAACACAAGTGAGGCTGCTTATAGCCTAAAATCAGTTTTTGGGGAACTGGATGCTGTACCTGTGAGAACTCTCTACTGCAGTGTTCTCTCCAATAACCTGATTACTGATAGATGAGGGAGCCAATAAAGATTACACAATAAAAAAAATGCTTTCTTACTGCTACACTTGATGCTTAAATACAGGTTCTTTCTTTTTTAATATATTAGAGTTGGGCTTAAATTTGCATTTTTGTCCAACACTTGCCCCTACTGGAGAGATTCCATCTTTTTTATTTGTCCTGGTGACTACTGCCCATGGGACTGGAAGTGAAAGGAAATCTAAAATCTCACAATTGTTACCAGAACAAGATGTGGTGGGATGGGGGGATCTTCGTATGAACCTCTGTTCTGGTGACAACTGTCTAATAGGAGATTTCTGTTTTCTGGATAGTGGAGTGTAGACAGGTGCTGGACATAGCAATATGCCTTTAAGGGACATTTACAGATGAAAGTATGATTAACATTTTTTCCCCCTAGTGCCCAGTACTAGGACTGCTAATTAACTTCCAGTTAGCAGGGTAGATCCTGTTCTTCTGACAGCAGAGGATCTTGGGAGCCGTAGTCCTATAGTGAATATATCCTGTATTCCTGAATGCAGATTAAACTACAACTACCAGAGAGCTGGCGAAAGAGAGAGATGCTGGAAGAGCAGATATATTCTACAGCAAGGGAGTGGGTCTCTCTTGGTGTGGGATTCCGAGCTGAACACAGGGGGACTGACATTTTCCTTCAGAGTCACATTGCTGGCCTACTGCTGTGGAACTCTGCACAGCAGAGCAGTAACACTGATGGCCACACAGGGATGGCATCAGTCTTTTCTGCACCGGGACTGTTACTATCCGGTCTTCACACTCACTACTCACTGTTCTGACAGGCCATCAGGCCATAACTCTGCACATCCCTGCAAACAGCCAAGAGCCTGTACAACAGGGGTCTTGAATTAAAATTTACAGAGGTCCGGTCAGCAAAATTTCCTTCAAGCAGAGGTCCAAATCTCTTTAACGATATAACGCATCACAGTCCCCAGTACATTATGATCTTTAGCAAACCTTTCACCCTATAGTCCCCTCTACATCAAAGTCCCCTCTTTAAAGAAGTCCCACAGTGTCCTCTTTTCCCTTCACATCACTTCCCCCTATTACATCACAGCACCCCTTAACACAACACAGTGCCCTTAACATAACACAGCACCCCTTAATACAACACAGCACCCCTTAATACAACACAGCGCCCCTAATACAACACAGCAAATATATAGCAAAGACGGGATGTCTGTTTGCTGGATGGGGATGTCCCTTCTTGGACTGGGCTGTCTCTTTGCTGGATTGGGATGTCTCTTTTCTGGACCCAACTGGCAAAGAGACAGCTCAGTCCAGCAAAGAGACATCATCATGCAGCAAAGAGACAGCTCGTCCGCCAAAAATACAGCCCCTCCAGCAAAGAGACAGCCCATCCAGCAAAGAGACAGCCCATCCAGCAAAGAGACAGCCCATCCAGCAAAGAGACAGACCTTGAGTGAGTGGTCGGATTGGATGCCTAACTTCTTTCTGTCATCACACTACAGACACTGCATGCAGACACCTTTACACCTCAGTTACCAGGAGACCTTTGCTTCAAGCATTACCACAGCCTGTTTAACTTCATTGAATTAGCATTATTCGCTAATGTTTATGGGCCCCACCATTGCTAACAGAAGACAACAGATATCACCAGATCAGGAACTGTAAACATCACAGTAATGGGAAATCTTCTCTTCTAAGGTCACTGTTATTCAGTTTAGGGTACTTATATCTATTTATACCAGAATATAGATTTACATAATTCTCTGCATCCCCCATTGTGGTGCCAGTGACCTAGAAGAAACTGATAAATCAACAAGCCTTTTCTTCCCCCTCTTATTGCTGGTGTTGCAGTTTGACAGTTGATGCTAGCTACTTATGACTGTATAATATGTTAAACGTTGCTAGTTGAGTATTCCTATTGTACCTGTGTTCTGTTTTATGCATTAACTGAGGTTGTATATCCTAAACCCATTATTCCTGTAGTCTACTCTTTTGAACAAGTTTAATATAGAGGTGTTACTAAATAATAAGGGGGTAGTGCTACAATTACAGAGTAAAAAAATGTTTCTTACTGCTACACTTGATGCCTAACTCTCCAGGTTCTTTTTTAATATATTGGAGTTGGGCTTAAATGTGCATTTTTGGCCAACACTTGTCAGAACAATACTTGCCCCCACTGGAAAGATTCCATCTTCTCTACTCTTTTGAGAAAGTATAATATAGAGGTGTTACTAAATAATTGTGTCTCTTGCAATATTATTCTATACTGTTGAAATATGTCTGAACCCAGAGTGTCAGAGGTGTCGGGAGGCTTGCAAGGTCAGGGCAACCACTGGGGAAAAGCATTATAAAGTGACTCCTGCAGGAGTAGCGCTACAGTAGGAAATGGAGGGAACTCTGACACACACAGTAAAATAAAAACCTGACAGGGGTTATACCCATTCCCAATTCTGTTCCTAGTCAGTAAGAAGTAGCATGGGGCAGGGATGGGTCCCAGGATATGCATGGCTGACTTCTCATTAAAGAAGTATGGACTTGGATAAAAAACAAACATACATATTCACCTTAATGCTGCAGCATTAGTGTAAGGCTTCAGCTGTCCCACATTGTCTCTAAAACCGAGAACTGAGCAATCACACGACCTCTAATCACTCAGTTCTCTGTCTTCTTGGTATGGAGAATAGTGACTGACAGTCATCAGCCTCCACTCTGCCCCTCCACCGCTCACTGGAGTGCCAGGCTGGAGAGAGAGCACACTGAGAGCCTGAGCCAGCTATCAATTTGGCAGCTGGTTGAATCCTGACAATATAGTCGGGATCCTTCCACTGCTCTGCTCCGTCAGCAGACAGCAAGCAATAGCACACTATGAGCTGACTTTGGATCACAGGAGAGCAAAAGTAAGTGTGGCCAAAGCTTTTTTTTGTGTAACGTAGAATAATGTAGAGAAGGATTAGCACTTCTGTCTACTGTTTGTGTTCCTGCTGGGGAGTTTCATCTTTTTCTGTCGTGTTGGCGACCACAATCCCCATGCTCAAAATAATGCAAAATCCAAAAGTCAGAAGGTGCAGGGGTTTGGGGAATGGAGAAACCTGTTCTGGTGATAGCTTTCTAAGAGGTGATGTTCTCTTGATTTGGAAAGATCTCCTTTTCATTCCTGTGTTTCTGTTGCAAAAGAATCTCCCCAAGGATAACAGACTAAAAAAAAAGTTTTTAGCCTTTCCTAATCTACCTAAAACAAAAAAAAAAGGCCTGAGACTGCATCTGAGTGCTGCGATCTGGAATGTAATGTCAGCAGTCAAAGCCAAATTAAAGTGGGACTATGTTCAGTTCCACTCTAGAAATGTAATGTCCATAAGCTCCCTTGCCATCGACAACAGCTTCTTCCAGGTTTGAGATCTTCAGCCATCTTGATTGGCGAGGGCTGGGATGATGTAACTCCCGAGCATGCATTGTTGTATGGTGGAGTTATGTGTGAAAAGTTTGCGAGGAGGAAGTTAAGAATCCTTCATTGCCGAAAAAAGAAGCTTCCGCTTGAAACATTTTGAAACATTTTGCCTACAGTTGTGCTTCAAGTAACACTCAAAAGTATTCCTGTTTGCATGATATTTAGACATTCCCAGCAGAGATCAGGGTTATGACATGAGGGGGGGGGGGGGAGCTGGTCTGTACTAGGGAATCGACTCTTCTTAAGAAATATAATTTTTTCTAGCAAGTTCCAAATTGTCCATGGAAAGAAAAAATACTGATATAATCGTATACATTATTTAACTTTCCTCTGCTTTTACCTCTAAAATGTTAGGTTTGCGAGAGGTTCTACCTAACATGTTAACAAAACAATGTAAACAATCAATTAATAATAGCTTTTTGTAATTTGATTTTATTTATTTCCCTGAATAATTAAACTATCACATCAATTAATTTAAAAGTTCACTAAAACAATAACCGGCAGGCTAAATTAAATAGTATATTTCATGTACTGTGAGCTACGACAGACAACTTTGTTCTTGCATTATGGTAGTTTTGGGTTTGTTAAAGAGAAATGTAAGGCAGTAAGTCAGAAAACTACTAAAGCTACTCTGCCAAATTCAGAATTTCTTTTGGTTTACCTTAATGTGGCCTTTAACCACTTGCCTACAGGGCACTTATACCCCTTTCTGCCCAGGCCAGTTTTCAGCTTTCAGCGCTGTCGCACTTTGAATGACAATTGCGCGGTCATGCAACACTGTACCCATATGACATTTTTATCATTTTTTTGAGACAGATAGAGCTTTTTTTTGGTTGTATTTAATCACCTCTGGGTTTTTTTATTTTTTGTTAAACAAACAAAAACAACTGAAAATTATAAAAAAACACTTTTTTTCTTAGTTTTTGTTATAAAATTTTGTAAATAAGTGATTTTTCTCCTTCACTGATCGGTAATGAGGCTGTAGTGATGGGCACTGATAGGTGGCACTGATAGGCACTGATGAGGAGACCTTAGTAGGTGGCACTTATCGGGATTGACAGGCATCACTGATGGACACTGAAAGGCAGCACTCATATATGGCACTGATAGGTGGCACTGATAGGCAGCACTGACTGGCACTGTTAGGCGGCACTGATGGGTACTGTTAGGCGGCACTGATGGGCACTGATAGGTGGCACTGACTGGCATTGATAGGTGACACTGACTGGCACTGATAGGTGACACTGAAAGGCAGCTCAGATGGGCAGTGATATGTGGCATTGATGTGCACTGGTAGGCACTGATATGTGGCATTCATGTGGTACTGATGGGCACTGGCAGGTGGCACTTCTGGGGCCACACTGATCATCAGGGCACACTGATCATCAGTGCCCTGATGATCAGTGTACATGTCCCCTCTGAGGAATGGTGATTACCGGCTCTCCTCTCGAGTTGTCAGCGTGACAGCTCGTGAGGGGAAAAATGCCAATAACTGGCATTTCCTTATTTATATGCAATCAGCTGTGATTGGACACAGCTGATCACATGACCGAGCCGACATCTTCCGCTCTTTCCTTCGATCGGTGATCCGCTGTGTCCTAGGAACACAGCACACCACCGATCACCGCGGTGCGCACCCCCGGAGCCGCAAATGGGCAGTTAGAGTGGGAGAACGTCATATGACGTCCTTCCCAGAACGAGAGAACTGCCTTGCACCCATCATTACTTTATATGGTGGGTGGGAGGCGATTAACCACATGGCTTCCTGAGGATTTCCCCCCCTTCCTGACCAGGCCATTTTTTGCGTTACGGCGCTGCATTACTTTGACTGACAATTGCATGGTCATGCAATGCTGCACCCAAATTAAATTCACGTCCTTTTTTCCCATGAATTGAGCTTTCTTCGGTGGTATTTTGTGTATTGTGCATTTTTTTATTTTTTGCACTGTAAACAAAAAAAGTCTGACAATTTTGAGAAAAAAAAAACTATATTTTTTACTTTTTGGCAATAAAATGTCCAGTAAAAAATTTAAAAAATCAAAATTCATCATAAAGTTAGGCCAAAATGTATTCTGCTCCATGTCTTTGCTAAAAAAAAATAAATTGTAAATTAATTGGTTTGTGTGAAATGGTGGTATATATACTGTGATTTTTTTTTTCATTCTTACTAGTAATGGTGAGCAGCGACTTATAGCAGACATTCTGACACTGGGGGGAACTGACTTGGTGTCACTGACTTCCCCAGTGACACCAATACAGTGATCAGTGCTAAAAAACAAAAGCACTGACACTGTACTAATGGCACTGGGCAGGAAGGGGTTAACATGAGGATGATGAAAGGGTTAACTGTGTGCTGGGAGTGTTTAACTAGCGGGCGGAGGGTGTGTGATTCACTGTAATCACACTGCTGTGGATGACTGTGTTGTGCACAGCCATCCAGAGCACTGTGCTTGAGCCGACAGGGAGAAGGACTGTTAGTAAACAAAACAGTCCTGTTCCCTGTCAGAGATCCTCGGAAATCAGCAGGTGCCAGCGAATAATTTCCAGGACGGGGCCCAGTGATTGACAGCCGCGGCCGCGAATGGCTGCGTGGGTAGGGCATACATGTGGCCCATTAGCACCCCCTACCCAGAAATGCAAAATCACGTATATATACGCACTTTTGCACACTGCTGCCACCCTGTAGCAGTATTTCTGCTATAGGGCGGTCGGCAAGCGGTTAAGTGTATAATCTACTGTAGTCAGAATTCAGAGGACCTCCTACAAATTTACTGACACCCATAATAAACATTGTAAGCCTTGTGCTGTGTAACTTAATTTTGAAAAATACTTTTTAAAAAAAAATAACATTAACATAGTAAATTGTATATGAGATGTTACAGTATATTCACCCAAAAACTAACGATCCAGTCTTTCCAGCTGACCTTACAACCCACTTCATTTAGTTCTTTCACCATTTACAAAAATACAGGCAGATACTTATCCATTATGCCATACCATCAGAGGAGCATGTGATTGGCCCCAAATTTATTCTGCAGCAGGACAACGACCTGAAACATATAGCCAATGTCATTAAGAACTATCTTCAGTGTATAGAAAAAATGAGGAATCCTGGAAGTGATGGTTTGTCCCCCACAGAACCCTGATCTCCACATCATCAAGTCTGTCTGGGATTACAGAAGAGACAAAAGGATTTGAGCCTACATCCACAGAAGATCTGTGGTTAGATCTCCAAAACAACCTGCTTGCCGAGTTTCTTCAAAAACTGTGTGCAAATGTATCTAGAGTTGATGCTGTTTTGAAGCAAAAGGGTGGTCACACCAAATATTGTTTTGATTTCTCTTCTATTCATTAACTTTCCATTTTAGTAATTGATAAAAAATAAAACTATGGACACTTCTATTTGTGAAAGCATTCTTAATTTGCAGCATTTTTTCATGCCTGCTTAAAACTTGTGCACAGTGATTTTATATATATATATACACATATATATATATATATATATAAAACTTTATTTTTAATAATTTATCACAGGTACTTATATAGTGCTGTCAATTTATGCACCGCTCTACATATATACATATATATATATATATATATATATATATACATTCACATCAGTCCCTAACCCTCAAGGAGTGTACAATCTAAGGTTCCCAACTCACATTCATACGTACACATACTAGGACCAATTTAAGACAAGAGTCAATTAAGCCAATTAACCTTACCAGGATGTCTTTGGAGTGTGGGAGGAAACCAAAGTACCCAGGGGAAACCTATGCAGACACAGGGAGAACATGCAAACGCCAAGCAGGTGGTGCCGTGGTTGGGATTTGAACTGACAACCATTTAGCCAGTATATATACTGTGTGTTTATATATATCTAGTTCAAAAATTGGAGCAGGAAACTCCTGTTATATTGCAAATCTTAACCATTGAAGATCCCGTTAACGGTGGGCTCCTATAATTCCAAAAATAAATCAGCATGAGATCTCCAAGTTGCAAAAATTCTCTCTTTTACTTTAAGTGTATCTTCATACAAAAATTAGCCCAAATGCTCAGTTTCAAGCATAACACTACTCTCCATCAAGCAAGAATTGTAATGCTAGACATCATAAAAGTACTCTATATACCTAAACACAGGGTGTGGTTGCACAGGTGCATCTCATCTACACCACTATAGCATTAGGCTGGCCATACATTATACAATTATCTGCAGATTTTTGGTTTAGATTTACCAAAAACCATATAATAGGAGGACAAACCTAAACAACACTTTCAGTTGTATCCAATTAGGCAGGCCCTTGCATTACATAGTTGAAGGTAAATCTAAAGGAAATTGGGCAGAAAATCTGCAGATAATTGTATAATGTATGGCCAGCTCTCATAGTAGGAAACACCTTTGCATAACAAAATAAAAATAAACGTAAGTCATATGTTACAGCATATTATAATCAACACTGTGATTCCAAGCTATACAAAACCAAAAACTGAAAAATATATTAACTATCACCATAAATCCAAGCAAATATATTTTGCTATATCACCTCTAATACAGTGCTTCATATATTTTTTTATACTGAAGTGGTACATATTGTGTATTTTTTTTTTTAAACTCCTATATTAGGATTTAGCATGCACAGCTGAGATCCGCCTAACGAGCATCATGTATGTATTTAAGGGATAATTTGCATATGTTTGCTAGACTGAATCTACCATATGGGACAGGATGGAGTTAAATCTGTATGTCAAGGGAGGGATCTGATCCAGACCCCTTATCCTCTGACAATCCCTGATAATTGCAGGTTGTGTTCCTGTTTTATAAGCAGCACAAGGAAGTGAGGCAGGTCCTCGCTGTGACTAATTATACCTTCCAATCAGAATGTCATTAGCACAGTTTGTTGTGGCTGGGCTGATAAAAATGGGCTGGAGAGGAGGAGGAGGGACGAGGTGACTGGAATTTTGTCACAATGAAGTAGAGGGAACGCAGTGCCTGGTCACCCTAGCCTGGTATTCTCTTACGTCTCGCTAAAATAGTAACCCAAAAGGCATTCATTGTCTCCAAAACAAACAGGCACAGATTTTGTTTGTCCACTCTGCATAATGCTTGATGCTAAATATATCAGCGCCGTCAGCTGTCACCACTGTCATTCATATCCGAAAGCTTTCAAAGACCTTGATCCTTACTGCCTCAGCTGCTTGAATAATTAGGCAAAAATAATAATCCCGCACCCTCTTTAGATGTAACTTTTCCAGTTAGCAGACACAATGCATTTGGTCTGTCCCATTGTAGGCTGCACTCTGAATTTATTACAGCGGATCAATAAATAGTCATTGACCATCTTATTGTGCGGTGTCCTAGTCTCCGTGTCCTGCAATTTACCCTTCTTGAACTGATCAATTTAGAAAATGAATGAGAATGATCTGTCCTTTAAAACTTTACTGAGGCCATTATTCCAACACTTAATTTTGCAAAGGCCACATGTTCTCAGAGGAAAATACCAAGAATGGAGAGGATATAAGATGGACAGCTACAAGAATCACGTTTATGAACCGTGAAGCAGAGTAAGCATGGTCTCTTTATGAGAGCCCATCACAATGCTTTTTATTGTTTCTACAGCAGATGAGAAAAAATGAAAGAGAGTGTGACAGGTTTCCATGAGAAGTACATTCACTCTTCCCTTCCCATCATGTTTTAGATACCTGTATAAAGGAGGTCCAGTCTGATATATTTGGTGGGTGAGCTGCACATACATGAAGTAGTTGCGACATTAAATTCAATTATTTTAGTCCTTACGTATTCAGAAGCCCCATCAATGATCACGTGTAGAAGAAAGATTCTCACTGCTGTATCCATCTAAAACTACATTAGTATGGGTAGAGTAATGTGGACTATTGTTGCCACTCAACAATCATCATCAGAAAACTCCATAATTAAAGAATATTGTGGGCTTGATGCCATACAAGCCACCTAGTGGAACAGGTGTGTCAGCTGTTTAAACATCCATGGCTTCAAAGCCATGGCTCCCAGCCTGAAAGGTCTCTGGAAACCTCCAACCTTCTATAGGCAAAAGGAAAAGCCAGCGACATGGTGTGTTGGCTAGAACCAATGCTCTAAAGCCAACATACCATGGCACTGGCTTTTCTTTTTTGCCTATACAAGCTACCTAATGGTCACATTGAAGGACCTGATCATCTAGAACTGTGTAACCCAAAGGCTGTGCACTATAGGTGGAACTCACCATCACTGTATGTGGGACATCGCAGGGCTCATAATGCCTGTGCAGAACAACCTTGGGGCACAATATAGTTACTCTAGTGTTGTTGGCTGCTAGTAGATGATACCCCAAAGATCATAGTGAAAAGTGTATATAGATATGTGTGTGATCTATTAAACATTTTGGAGAATATAACAATGAAACTGAAGATGTCTGCATCTCCAATACTCAAGCATGAGTAGTGCAAAAAAAACAATCAGAGCAGTCCTATTGTGATACGGAAAACAGGCCTGGAAAACCTTGTGCTAATGCATGGCCAGTGTCTATATATTCATACGTGACTTTAACATTGCTGCACAAGCTACATGCATAAACAGCTCTATAAATGTCCCTACTGTCCCCAAATGACAATAAAAAAACAAGTAAAACAAAAACACTTCATTCTTTGTTGATGCATTCTTATGAAGCAGAAAACTGTACCGTAACTGCTTATTGCTTTTGCACGTCCATCTCAGGACAATGTGACCTATCTGATTGGCCAGTGTAGTCAGCAAGATGTTAGCTAGATTCTCCTGAATGCAGAGTGCTTTTGCCCTTCTATTTTTCCAGAATTTTTTTTTTTTTTAATTTCTCAAAGTAGTATTAAAGTAGAACCAAAGGAACTTGTTTTTTTTTTTTTGGGGGGGGGGGGGGTTGATAGAGTAAAGGAGGGCTATAGTTCCTGTTATTTTTTTTGCAATCTGTATCCCATTATCCCATTGAGACAATTTTCCTTCACTTCCTGTCCCATAGCTAATACAGGAAGTGAGAAGAAATTCCTCCAAAGTGAGGAAATTCCTTGTCACTAGGGTCATGAGATCTAGTGTTTTGAATAGACGGTTTCCTCTCTATTCCTCTTCTGATGTTCTAAAAATTTGGGATTATCTTTCACTTCCACTCTTGATGATACTGTACATGGTAAACAGGACAAATAGAGAAGGTGGATCTCCCTAATGGGAGCACTGACAGGACAATGTGACCTATCTGATTGGCCAGTGTAGTCAGCAAGATGTTGGCTAGAGTCTTCTGAATGCAGAATGCTTTTGCCCTTCTATTTTTCCAGACAAAATTTACTTTAATTTCTTAAAGTGGTATTAAAGTAGAGCCAACTGAAAAACGTGTTTTTGGGGTTTGTTTTGGATAGAGTAAAGGAGGGTTATAGTTCCTGGTTTTTTTTGCAGTCTGTATCTCATTTGAGACAATTTTCCTTCACTTCTTGTCCCATAGCTAACACAGGAAGTGAGAAGAAGATTCTCCAAAGTGAGGAAATTTCTTCTTGTCACTAGGGTCATCAGATCTAGAGTTTTGAATAGATGGTTTCCCCTTTATTCCTCTTCTGATGTTCCATAAATTTGGGATTATCTTTCACTTCCACTCTTGGTGATAC